GGCAAACGCCGCTGCCGCCGCTCTTCTCCCTCGTTGTCGGTCAACGAATCCGACCGCGGCGACCCCAAATCGGCGAACTCCTCTAATGATGAAGGTAAAATCGACATGTATGGTTTCTCATTTCTATTTTCCAGACTTTTCTATGAGATTCTACTAATTTTCTGGATTTTTTGTTGTGTTTGATTTGAGGAATACTGGGTTTTGCTTCGGTCGAGGAAAGAAGGAAAGGGGCGGCGGCCGCCGACGATGGGGTTTATCCATCGATGACGACGAGATCTAGGTGAGGTTTTCATTTGCATGCGGGTTTTGTTCTATTTTTTTTAGAGATATGGGTTTCTAATATTTTTTTCCTGGATTTGGTTTTGTGCGAGGTGACGAGGCAAAAGGGGCCGCCGCGATGGGGGGTTATTTCGCCGGCGAATCCCGACTTCGCCGGCGGCTATGGTGAACCACTACGAAGAGATGAGATCTAGGTATTTACTCTCCTTAATTCGATTTTAAACATGTCTTCCTAACTTTGATAGATTCTGATAATTTTCCTAAATGGATGCAGGTTATGGAAAAGCCCAATCTAGGTAAGGTTCTCCTATACTCGGTTTAGTATGGTTAGGGATTTTTTAATTTCATAACAAAATTATTTATGGTGGATTTGAAATACCCTAATAATCTGTATTTTGGAAACAAGATTATTTACGGTGGATTTGAAATACTCTACAAATCTGTATTTTGGGAAATATGGTTGTATATGCATTTTCTGGATCTAGGATGAAATCTGGGAACCCTGGACATCACCCATAAATCACTTTAATTTTTATGCTAAAAAATGAATCGAAACTGTTTTCGTTCTATAATCACAACCACGGCTTGTGATTTTTGTTAGACTAGGATTGACTTTGAAAACGGTTGTGGATTTATGGATCTTGAATTTACTGTGAAATAGCAAGTTGGCAATCCTTGTAATCTTTGGCTCTTATTGTGCTATCATTAAAAAACAAAGTGGTTAAAAAAATAACTAGCGCATTAGTCATCGCTGCCCCTGCTTGCGATTACTAGCCTATAAGAAACTAGTTTTCACTAATCGTGTGATTATTGGTTCGATTGGGATTTTTATGATGTATTTATTCAAAAATTTATATGTGTTTATGAACTGAAATTTGTTGTGGTATGTATGGTAATTTTTGTTGGATATTGATCTAGATCTATAGATCATGACCCCTAAGAAAAGGTGTTTTTGGCTTCTTTCTACAAGCGTAGCAATTATACGCTAAGAACATAAATTGAAACTTGATTGAACATAAAGTGTTGTAAAAAATGGAGTTACCGTGTATACCGAGTGACCATGGTAAGGAAAAGCTGGATATTAAATAAATAGCGGACAATTAGAGAGTACTTAAATAAAGACAAGATACAAGTAGATGATGGCATTAGCACATTGCATATTTCGATAATAAGGACTGCTCATACAAGTAATTAAAAGAGACATAATTAAACTGATTCATATCATTATCCAAGTAGAGAAAAAGAGCACAGAAGTTACCAACCTCAGATCTAAGAAGCCTAATCTTGCTTTTGCTTTCCTTGCTTACAACTCTTGTAACTAGAAGCGAAGTCTTCAATATTGCTCTAATCTCCTCCACGAAAGATGAACATTAGCTTTCTAAATTGTGCTCTCTGTTTTTTAGCCTCCCCCCCCCCCCCCCCCCCCTCTCCAAAGGTCGTCCCCCTCACATAGGGCTCAGAGAGCTCATTTAATAGAAAAATCTATGCCTCGTTGCTTCCTTCTGGTTGGTCTTTGTTGAGGTTGCATCTGCAAGACTGCTGTCAAATCTTGAAAGGCGCAATGGGTTGTGGACAAGATAGGCCGAGATGGATTTGGGCCGAACCCGTCAGCTTCAGCTTATTGGCCGAATTGGGCCTGCAGTGCTGTTCTGGACTTGAACTAGGCCCGACTCTGGGCCAAAACCTGTGCTCGAATTGGCCATCAGATCTGGAATTGGACTCTCACTCTTGGGCCTGAACTGATTTTCGATTTGGTTCTTTTGTAGGTCTGTGGCTGGTTTGAGCGCCAAGGAGACGGGTTTCAAGCCTAGTTTGGATTTTCATTTGATTGGAGTTGTATCTCATTTTATTTTTGTATATGTTAGTAATTGTGTTTTAAGATCTCATGGAATACTAATCAAGGTCATTGTTTTTTTTATCAAGATGTAATCATTTATGGTGATGTATAATTGACAAAACAAAACTTCTATTCCTTTTATTCAATTAAGCCCATCTCTTATGTCCTATCCAAATCCAAGCGCAAACCTTGGGTAGTCTTTTACACGGTAAACCAACCATCCCAAAAATTAAAGTTACTATTGCTTTCATCCAATTGAGTCAACTTAAAACTAGACATGGATAGCTTTGGTCATTGATGCTTTAGATTTGCCACTGCGAATCTCAAATAATTTATCTAGAATTGTATAGGAATGATCTTGTTAATCATTAGCGTCACTGGTAATCCTGATCAATTTTATATTAGAACTAAATAAGACTGGAATTTGGAGTCATTGGTACTTATTGACTAGCCACTGCTAATCTCAACCAAATCCTTCAAAGCATTCTATTTAATTCATCGTTATAAAAAAAATTTTAAGTTTAAGTACAGTTGTTGCCCCGGAAAAAATGTGGTGTCTACAGGAGGAATCAAAGGGATTCTCCTCTTACCTTTCATACCACGACGGTCACGAGGTGGAGGAATTAATTTGCCGGACACCTCTTCTTTGACCGCAACAACCACAATAATTTAACTACATTTTATCATATTATGATTTCTTTCTTGGTCTTTTAAGGGAAATAATGAATATTTTTAGTGTTTTTCACATCAATTATATACTCAAACTGTCGACCTGTCCCGGCCCGCGGTCCATGATAAATTACCCGACCTGCCACAGGGCGGGTATGGGTATCGAGATACCCGCTCCAGACCTGGCTCATTGCCATTCCTAAATCGGATAGCCCTCCTAAGCAATGCTAGAGCGATGCGTGTGTGACCATCAACATGTCGAGCTATTGTGCAAATAGGTTGAACCTATTGAAAGGGTCTAGAATGCATCCCTAGCATCGTGAACTTGATTGAGGTTACAATTGGTCAAGGAATCGTGCTAGGAGGGGGACTAGTTGCACGACCATTGAGTTAGTCCTCACTTTAGTGAGCCTCGCACCTTATTACCTTAAACCCGACATTACAAACCATTTGCATGATAAACCTAGATCTATGGCGAGGGTGGTACCCCGATGTACCAGCTTTTATCTTTGCTTTCTCCACCAGTACTTTCTATTTGACCTCCAAAACAACCCTAAACCGAACGACTAGATAACAACAAAGTGAGAAATGGTCTAGGATATCAAAATTCGTGGAATACGACATCGGTCGACCACTATATTATCAACGCCTTCTTGAGTTATACTTGGCTCAAGATGGGTTAGTTAATACAAGTCGTGCAAACGGATTAATAACCTGTACGGGAGTCACACCACTGGCCACTTGTTCTAGAGTGTGCTGCTTGGATGATCATGTTCGAGTTTGTGTTCTGGCCTCCTCAAATGGTTTGGTTCCTCGAGGGTACTTCATCTCTTTTGGTTGTGTGCTCTTGTCATCTCCCCTTACAGGCTTCAGGCGGTTTGCTTGTGCTCTGTCATTCTGTTTCTGGTGTCGGTGCAAACGTTATCTTCTCTGGATCTTTGACGTCGGCTTTGTGTACATGCGTTGGGATCAGGGTTGTCACGCCGGCCGGCGTGCCACCGGTTGTACCTGGTTCAACCTGTACCGGCCATAAAACCGGCATGACATCACCGGTATAACCGGCATGATCGATATACGAATCTCTATGTAAAATAACCTTATTTTAGTGATTTTAATTGTTAAAAATTATTTTATTATTTATTTTATGAGTATAAATGTTAAATATTGATGTTATTTGTTGGATTTAAGTATAAATGTTTAGGTATTGACGTTAAATGTCATGTTTAAAATGAGTATTTATAATTTTATTTGTAATATTGACCGGCATGAACCGGCACAAACCGGTATGTACCACCGGTCGAACCATTTCACTTGCTAAACCGGCACACTGGCATAAACCGGTTTGACAACCTTGGTTGGGATGAAAACAAGCATTAGGATTTCTGCTGCTTTTCTAGGTTGTTTGATCAGCTTTTTAAACTTTTTTGTTGGACTACATACTTCTTTGTTGTACTTTCATGGGACTTTGCCCTTTATATGTAACCTTCAATTGGTTTGTTATTATTAATAAACTAATGTTGCTGTAAAAAAAGAAAAAATTGTAGTAAATGATTATACTTTCACCTTATCATTTCACTCACATTTGTTCTTAAACAAATCAATTGTTTGATAAAAATTTACATATTCTTTTTCTCTTTGGTCTTAAACAAATGGTAAACGTATACAAATACAGCTAGAGGTGGGCATTGGTCCGGTCCGAAATGGAACGGATCGGACCAAACCCAGGTGAACCACGGTCCAATTGTGAAAGATATCTTAGGATCAAGGACGAGATCAATAGTGCATTCAGTCCGTTTTGGTCCATTTGGTCCCATCCAAACGTAAATTCGATCAATTTTTCTTCAGTATTTTTAAAATTCATAGGACCGGACCATATTATATTTGATTTAGTGTGGTCCGATCCAAACATCGATTAGATCCGATGTATCCGATATGCACCAACCCATTGTCCACCCCTAAATACAGCTACAAATCTAGGCCAACTGGTTGATTGAATTTGGGGGAATCACAATGTATGAATTTAACATATCAAATTGGTTTTTTACCACCAACCATGTATTTTAATCCTTAATTTCACTTGAAACAGGTTGAAACATCATTCCTCAGTTGTCAGTACATCAGGATTACTGCGACGGCAATTATTGACTGGAACCAAATAGCATCGAATTACAACAATACCCTTCCATCTAAAGCGAAAACTGCACTAAACTAAATACTGGGTTAAGAAACGAAGATGTCTCCTGAATTCACTAGCTGTACAAATTGTTCTTGTATTTATGGGCCATAACACAATCCTGCAACGGGTCTAAAACAAGGCTTCCGGTTATTTGCTCTCTTTTCTACACAGCTTTGTGATCTTTCAATCAGCTAAGGCAAATCTGACTTCTGGGTCATGGCAGAACCTTAGTAAAACAGGCCCCTACACCAAGACTTCCTAATGTCATGTTCTATTTTCAGGGTACTGCAGTCATGATGGCTTCAACCCTCGTACTGCTGCTGCGAAAAGCTGCAAATCATGGCACAATATAGTTAGAGACTATGCAGTTCAAGTACCTTAGGAGTTTAGAGAACTACAAAGAAAAATGGGTTCCTTTTTTTAATTCCTTTGCTTCTTTTCCTCCTTCCTCTGATTAATGAAAAACACAACAGTTCATATACCTTTGGGGAAGCTCTGGGGAGCTGTTCCGAACCTGCAGTGACCCTATTATGTCTGCTACTCTGCTCAGACATGCAGTCATTGTTAGGTTTCGACTCATTTGACGTAGAAGGTTCCCCATCACAACTATGAGGCAAGCTAACTGGTGAAAGCTTTCTCTGTTCAGAAGACTTGCTTCTCAATTCATACTGCTTAGTGGAAGCGGAGCTTTCAACGGTAGTTATTGCATGATTTTGGTCTTTCTTGTTGAACTGTGTAGCAGCTGCACGTGCGGAAGCAATGGCCACAACAAGACTTGATGACTTCTCGACTTCAGTTGTGTGTCCTGCTGTGGACTGAGAGCTAACAGAACCAGGACTCAACGAATAAGGATCCCTTGGATTTGGAAGGGGAAATTTTACAGGCAGTGGACCTTCCACAGGGACAAGGCCTCTAGCTGCAGACTCATATATCTGTGAAAAAGTTCAGCAATTTACTTTCCGCAAGAGGCATAGATGCAGAAGCTTACAAGCTTAGACTTATTTAATAAGAGTTACCTTCCTTTCCAGGTTATAAACACCTTGAAAACCTCTCATCTCGAATGGAATAAGCAATTTCTACATAAATTGAGCAAGAAGAAACAAGTAATCAGGCACTTCTCCGAAATCTTTAAGAATGTAACAATAAGTTCAGATTTATGTACCTGTGGTTGTTCACAAAGCCAGCAAAAATCAGTTTGTCCTTCTACCCTCACCTGTCACAAAAGGATTTATGTCAAATAGTCACACCAGAGGGTTCAGCAAACACAATCAATCTAAGGATGAAAGGAGAAGAACACAAAATTTTCACAGAAAAAATAAAGAGTTCCTACCCCTTCTGGTATGGCCTCCCAGCTTGCCAGCTCGTCCAGTTTTAGACACCCAACTACCTCAACGCACCCTATGAATGGGAGCCACAGCACCAGAAAACAAAATTTCTACTTAAGATTTCACTAAAAAAAATTCCATTAAAGAGGGTCACAACGGATAATGTATTGCACTTGGACCAAGGGGAAACATTTCTGCATTCAAGCACCCAAGGCAGGTAAGTCAAAATGCAAAGAATCCGTATTCCTAAACCAGAATGGGAAATAAGTGCCCCCTTAGGATTTCCAAGTGCCATCGACAAAGCTAAGAGAATCTTTTTCAGGTTGTCTAGGTTATGGAAGAGCATCATATCAAGTTCAACTTAATAGCTAACATCATGTATTAGATTGAAGCTCGATATCATAATCAGAAAGTGAAAATCTAGCAATCAGCATGAAATTAAAAAGGACAAATGACAAAGTGCTATCACTTAGATACCTAAGAGTCTGGAAACAGGGTAATGTTCTGGAAACTTGATGTCAGTAACGCCATTCAGTGCATAGATTTCCTTGTAGAACTCTTCCATTGCTTTGATTGTATCTTGCTCGGGAACTTTACTGGCAGCATGAATCCACAGACGGCCTTCAAGAGACCCAATTGAAGTTGGAAAACGTTTGAACAATCATTGATTCAGAAACCCATTAGCAACATCATTCATTGACCAAAAAGATACAGAAGAATGCCAAAGTTTTCCAGCTAGTAAAATTCCATTCTTTTAACGCAAACTGGAATAGATAGATGCCACTCGCCGCTCCGGTGCTAAACTCATAAGAGCAAAATATTGGGACCTTTTTTTATGTCTGGGAATCGACGAAGCTGAAGGAATTTGAATTTAGTTACCGCGAAGGGGAGCCGGCCACGATCGGCCTTCGATGCGTTTGATTCCGTAGACAAGGAGAGAAGCCCAAGGCTGGTGCATAGTCAAGCATGGATTCGTGTAGTTCCCTGCGCCGCCCCTTCCGCCACTTCTGCCGCCACCGCCGCGGCCGCGCATCTTACCTTGGGTGGACGGATCTGTGCGAGACAATTTGCTTTCTCAGCTCGGAATCAGAATCTCTCCTTTTTCTGCGAGTTAGTTCTGCGACCTCTGCTATTTTTTGTCTGACTGTCCTGAGATGCGTTTTTTTTTTTTATTCTCTTTCTGACGGCAATGAATAATTAAACTACTTTTTCATATATGCTTTCGGACGGATTTACAGCGAGCTGACGTGAGTTCCCTTTGCTTACGAATTCGTTTGGTCACGTGGATTTTGCAAAGTTGGACTGAGTCACCAAAATTTAACCTCCCAGGCAGGCACATATATAACCCTATGATTGAAGTCTCCCACCCATTATCCGATTCTCTCTGTCTGAACTGGTTGATCTAACTAAAAGGCCACTGAAAAAGAGTGGCTAGTAATATATGATGATTTGATTTGAATCGGATTATCAGTCGCTACGACTGAAAGTCACGGGGTTTCGCTATCCGATTAGCACATAGGGTCAAGGGGCAACGTCCCGGTGTGGATGCGGGAGCAACTCCCCCGGCCCACGGTGTATAGGCTCAATGTTGTTTGGGTTCGTGTTCTGAGCTTGGTCTCTAACTGTTTTTCCTTTACCAGATTGGATTAGGGTTAGACCTTGGAGAAGTACTATAAATACTTCTCATACTCCTCTATAATCTGTATCACCTCGAAGTATAGTGAAACTGGTTCTCTCCTACCTGTGGATTAGCTAATACACATTGTGTTAGTGAACCACGTAAATCGCGTGTCATGTGTGCGCTTTCATTTTCTTGCAGGAAATTCCTACAATACCTTGAAGTTATTGTAACTTGATATTTTTGACCTGCTATAACAGGTTTCATAAGTCGCATTACGTAAAATACAATAAGCATTACGTAATGGTTACGTAATGTGTGTTTATCTTACGTAATAGTTGAAAAATGTCATTACGGAAACCTTACGTAATAGACACTCATTTTACGTAATGAATATTAACCTTTCGTTACGTAATTTGTTAAATAATTACGGAAGACTTACGTAACGCTTGTAATTTAATTGTTACGTAAGAAATAACTATCATTATGTAACCTTTACGTAATAGATGCATACTTTACGTAACAGTTGTAAAGTGGAATTACAGAAGCCTTACGTAATGGATGGTCCTTTTACGTAATGAATATTAATCAAGTTACGTAATGTGGTAAGTCATTACGTAATACTTCTAATTTAACTGTTACGTAAGAAATAACCTTCGTTACGTAACATTTACGTAATGAGCGTGTATTTTATGTAATAGTTGTAAAATGTCATTACGGAAGCCTTATATAATAGACAATGTTTTTACGTAATGAATATTAACATAGCGTTACGTAAAATGATTGTTGAACCAAGTTACCAAATCAGAGTTTCTCTAAAGAAGGAAGGAAGCCAGCCAGAGACAGCTCAGAACTACCTTTTGTACCTCTCGTATGATTTCAAGCGCAACGGTCAAGAATGGGTGGATGGCTATATATATTCAAGTTCTTCGACTAAGCTAGGCACTTTTTGTAAGGGTGGAAAAGGACTGCTTACAATCTGGGTTAATCAACAGAGGAAGATGTTCTGTTTGATTAACGGTGTAACGGGTCAGGGTTTGGGATCCGAGTTGAATACTCTTTCTGTGTTCCCTTGTGTCGTTGTTTGTGTCAAGTTGCTTGATAGGGAAAATCAAATAAAAAAAGAGTCTCCTAGACATCAGTGAAGTACTGAGTCTAGGACGAGGAGTGACCAGTAGATTGGGAACCTCGTTAAACTTGATTGTGTTCTTTCGATTCACTGCTATTCCCTTCTTTCTTTACTTTCTGGTTCCTCCTCTGCTCTGAATTGTTCCCCTGCTTCTGAAACTCTGCTTCTCAAGGAAGAAGACGAGTATCAGAGTGAAGTAGGCGGGCTTAATGAGCTTGGGCTTAAGGAATCAGTGGGTTTTACTTATTTCACTGAGTGGGCCGTTGTCAAATTAGCTAGGCCCAATCTTTGATCTTAGTCTACACATAATATAATACACCGAAGGGAAAAACCGGAGCCCCATTTCAAATTTCCTGCAACGAGAGTGAAAGTAGGAAGGACATTTTGGTCTTCACAATTACTTTTTTTTATTCATTAAAAAGACACGTACTGAGATTCGAACCATGACCATTTTAAAGAAAAGCAAGAATCATAACCAATCACACTAAGTACATTTGTTGTATCTTTTTAAATTAAAAACATATAATAGCAGGGTGGAGAAAACTCTTCCCCCATTTCAAATTCCCTGCTCCATGACCATTTATAGGAAGGGTAGAATAGGGAGTGTTAATTTTTTTCTCTTTCCTCTGTGGAACGGGCCAACTTACCGTACACATGCGGATTTAAACGGGTCTAGGAGTGTCAATTTTTTTCTTTAAACCCTTTTATTTCTGCGTGGTGATAAAATATATATGAAAAGGCAAAAATAATACTATTTTTTATTGTTAAAAATAAAAAATTTAACAATAAACTAATGCATGGTATCTAATGGGCTAACCGCTAACCATAAAATAAAAGAGTTGAATGAGCCTGACCTACATGGGATTTGGCCATCAAGTAAAACAAATGAACATCATTGGTTTGTCATTCTAAAATAAGCTATTTTCTCTGGCATAATATATATTATGCTATTATTTTATATTTCAGTGGCTAAAATATAATGTATTTTAAAGTTATTCAATGGTTCAACCTCGACCAACCCAATTAGTCCAATTTTTATCATTTCAAATATATATTTTATAATTATTTGACATCATAATGATCAAATTATAGTGTATTTTATAGGGAATCGTTTGGTATTTGTTAGTAAAAAAACTAAACATAAAGATCTATTTGGTTATTTTAAACATTAAAACGATCCTAAACATTTTCAGTTCCTTTTGTATTTCTATGGTTTTATTCCCCGAATAAGTGATGTGCAAATGGCGAATTGTAGTCGTCTTTTTTCTTTCACTATTTTTTATTTTCAAATAGAAAGTCTAAAAGTAAAGAATAATTAGAATTTGGCATGGGTCGGTCAAACATGCTGAATTTCAAGTTTTGGCCCGTTTGTTTTATGCATTGCAAATTTATTAGCATGTTGATGGAAATGGCTTGGAAAAAAGACATATAAGTTGTACCTTTGCAGAAATGTCCTTAAATGTTTGAATGCTTTGTGAATCAGGTTCCGTGACTTTTGTGATGGTGTATGTGCTTGACGATCGCTCGATGTTGCAACTACTTAATTTGAGAGTAAATCTTTTGATTTTCCCTATGAGTTGTGATACCAGTTCTGGTGGTTGCAGCATGTTGTCGTTGTTGCCCTGTAAAAGTTGTTCCGCCGTGATGCTAAATACCTTTCTTTCTTTTTTAACAAATTGTGTAGTAGTGCTATGAAACAGACCACCCATGAACGCTACGCTTATTATGGTCTGTTCTTACTTCCGGTGGTGAGAAATTGTGAATTGAGAATCATATTCGCCTACCGCACTGTGTCTGGCTGGTGGCTGCTTACTGTGCTCTCTAGAGTTATGAAACAGACTACCCATGAACGTTACCCTTAAGAGTCCATAACTTTGCGAAAAACCAAATTTAGGCAATCAAAGGTGGTGGATGTGTGATGATTTTTTGTGGCTTAATTGTTTGTGAATTGGATATATGATCTTTGTATGCTTAGAGGGGATGTTTGCTTAATAGAATAATCCATTTTAATTCATGTTTATTTTTAACATGAACTTTAGTAACTCAAAACCTTCGAGACACATATCACCTACTGCATTGTATCATTTTGCCTGGGTGCTTACTGTGTTGTCAAACTTCTTTGCTGCTGCATTTACACTAGCAGGGGAGTTAAGAACCCATGAATGTTTCCGTTTGAAACAAGCAAGAGGACTTACTTCTAAATCGTGCACTAAAGATGATTGGAGGAAACATCTCTGTTGCAGTTGATATACTGGAGACCATAACAAAAGCAACATATAACATCAAAACCAACCATCTAAACTATTAGCATTGTTGCTTTACTCTTTTTTCGTGGTTGAGTCTCCTTCAAAAAATTTAGTTTGATTTTAGAAAATTTTCCTTCTGCAGTCCTGTCTTGCCACCAACGCGTTCAGTAGATGGAGATGGCAGTGGCGAAGGCTATTTTTGTGTTGTTGTTGCTGGTTTAGGGATCGGTTTGTGAAGAAGAGGGAGAAGAGAGGGGGAAAGGGAAACGCATGAGAGGGGGGTAACTCTTTTCTCCGGAAAAAATGGAGTGAAGAAAGGAATTATGATCAGTAAGGATATGATTATCTTACATAACGGTCTCTATTCAGTTTGAATTGAGCTTGGGAGGCAGTGATAAGGACGAGCTGCAACCAATTCATAGTGATAAGAGTGCTATGAACTGTGATCATGTCTTATTTCAAGTTAGAAGGTAGTTTCAGTATAAGGATTATTTAATTTGACAAGTTTTTTCGTCCATGATTCTTGGTAGTTTCAGTGCCATTCTAGCCATTGTTTAGTCTGTAATTTTTGAGAATTGATGTGCGAGTAATGACTTTCACTTAGCTTCAACTATTATGTGTGTATTTATTGGCATGTGATAGAATTCTCTTTTCCTTTTCTTTGAATTTAGTTTCATACTCTAATTGTATCATTTGTACATAGGCAAATCATGCTCGAGATGACAACTCGCTGATATGGCTGGTGCAAGAAATGAAGCCATCATTAGAATTCAGATCGACAACGGGGAGGGATGCCCAGGACTATTCAATGATGATTGATGATGGTATAATAAAAACTACAGTCTGCATCAGCACCCATTTTTAGGTCTAAGTAAAGTTATTCAACCCAGAACTCTGCTTAGCGCTAAAAATTGCCCTCACCCAACCTTGATCCTGTTTGACCCACTTCTGAAGAGTCAAGATATATGACTAATCCTCTCCGTTCGTATTTTCTTATTGACTCTTTCTGACCCTTTAGGTTGGGGCGGGTCGTGAAGAATCGGATTAGTGGGTCGGTCCTAATCAAGTGGAATCCCAATCCCTTCACTCTCACTTGCTTTCTCTCCCATTCCACAAGTGGGTAACATACAGTAATCTGGCCAACGGGCCG